CTCCCAGGCGCGAGCGGCGGCGCGGGGGCAAGCCTCGCGCCCGCAGAGAGAAACTCGAGCCAAAACGGCTGACGGTCGAGGTCATGAGCCATGTCCACGATCGGGAGCTCTTGCCTCGCGCGTCGCGGCGGCGGCCGCGGCGACGCGGTGCCTTGTCAGGGGGGTCGCGCGTCGCTCCGCTCCGCACCGCGGGGCGGGAGGCTCGGACGAGCTCGGGACGCTGACGCGGGGGGCCGCGGTGTGGATAGCGCGTCGTGCCAGAGTGCAGTGGGCCAGAGCCAGCGGCGCGACACGCCCGTACAGGCAAGACGTATAGGAAGGACGCGCGGGAAGGACGCAAGACCCTTGGAGGCTGAAGTTGGGATTTTTTTGGGCGGCGGCGACCAGTGAGAACGGCAAAGGACGGGCCACAGAGGCAAGTAGGCAAGGGTATCCTAGATGAAGGTGCGCGTCCTTACTGGGCGCGTTGACTGTAGTGACTAACGTGAGGATGTGGATGAGACTGGTACTGGCAAGGTCGGCGAAATTCCGTAAGAGCTGCGACGCAGATGACTGTGGTGGCCATGCCAGAGGGGCGCTGAGGGGAAGCACAACCACCAGTCACCGAAGAACGCTACGCCGAATTGTCACAGGCAAGCTCATGCGGCCATGATCGCACGAGTCCAGCACGCAATGTTTCATCACGATTGGCAATATGATGCGCACGCGCACGACGCGGAGGTCTCAGGACGGGCCTGCACCTCGCGCGACTCGAACGGATCAGGCGGAGGAGGAAAAGGAGGAGGAGGAGGAGGAGGAGGAGGAACAGAAGGACGAGGAGGACGATGAGGGAGGAGGATCAGGAGGAGGGCCTGTTTTCCCAAGTTTTCTTGTGAGCAGGTCGCTACAGGCCCGACGACACACTGGATCCAGAGAATCGGCGCAACAAGGGCAAAAAAGAATGCCCAAGAGGACCCACCAGACGGCCCCAAGACGCAAAAATCATGGATCCCACATGGTAGCTCGATGGATTGCACCTTTTCGCCATTTCGATTGGTTTTGAAGTACGACACAGTTTGAGAAGCCCAATGCGGCCGAAGGCGTATTGGGCCCCCCAAAGGCGTCCAAAATGCCCCCAAGATGACCTCAACAGACCAGGGGGGGCCCCAGGGGGAAAGAAAACTTCAGAGGGCCCACCCAAGCATTCAGGAGGCCTCCAAGAAACCCACGAGAAACGCCGCAACGGATGCGGAGGACGAGGAGGACCAACCAGAAACAGCTACCTGCAGGCAGCACGATGGGAAGTAGCAAACGATACTAGAGGCCTCCTAGATGGGGTCCGAGTAGATGGGGTCGAAGGATCACGCCGCTTCGCCGACGCATCGGCGCCGCATCGGCGATACATGGGCGACGTCGGCGATGCATCGGCGACGTCGGCGTGGGGAATCGCGGGCTCCGCATCGCGCGGTCCTCCGACCCCATCTACTCGGACCCCGTCCAGGAAGCCTGCAGCCGGACTTGATGGGAGAGGACACGCGAGAGGACACAGGACCCTTCCGAGGGCCACGCTGCCACAGAAGTGCAGGAGGCATGGGTCGCAAGACACAGGACACGAGGGTACCCTTGATCTGTGAAGGGGCCCTGGGACACACAAATAAATACACACAAATAAAAGGATTCCCCGCATGTTTCAATATTTTCTGGGTTTCTGTCTTCCCCCCCACTTCCCATATTTCCCAATAGTTTCTGGGGAATCGACGATTCATTGTGCCTGTGTGTTTCTTCCCCTCCCGAATCTGGCAGGGTCGACCTGCTAGTCTGGGCCGCCTTGGAGATACTCTCTCCCGTCGCAGCACGCACGAGGGCAGCCCGCACGGGCGCCCGCAGGAGTGTGGGAGGGGAGGGAGGCAAGCTGGGTGCGCTCGCGTCATATCTGATGTCCTACCCCTCCCTCCCATCCCTTACCATGGCGCTGATTTTCTCTATCCGCGGACGCGTGTCGTAGCGGACCTGTGGCTCCGTGCGTAGCGTGCGTAGTGGGTGGTGGTGCGCGTGCGTGCGTGCGTGCGTGTGTGCGTGGTGGTGGTGGTGGTGGTGGTGGTGGTGGTGGTGGTGGTGCTGGTGGTGGTGGTGGTGGTGGTGGTGGTGGTGGTGGCGGTGGTGCGGCGCGGTGGTGGCGGGCGGATGGGCGCGCGAGAAAGAGGCCCGCGCTGGGGCGAGAACGCCATCCTGAACGACGGAGGCCAAACACCGATCCGAAAATGAGGCCCACGCTGCAGCGGGAGCACGATTCGGAACGATTCGGGAGCAGAAATGAGGCCGGCGCCTCAGCGAGAGCAGCATTTGAAAAAAACGCAAGCGAAAACCCGTTTCCCGGGAATCCTGTGTGTAAAAAACAGTACGCGGGGGGGTGTCGATATCTTCGGGACGCCATCAGGGGAAGTGGGAGAGTATTTTCATATTGTGTAAATGTAGAAGGTAGGGGGAGGAGGGGGGGGGAAGAGGAGGAGGGGAGGGGGCAAGCTAGGTGCGCTCGCGTCATATCTGACGTCCTACCCCTCCCTCCCATCCCTTACCATGGCGCTGATTTTCTCTATCCGCGGACGCGTGTCGTAGCGGACCTGTGGCTCCGCGCGCGCGTGCGTAGTGGGTGGTGGTGCGCGTGCGTGCGTGCGTGTGTGCGTGTTTGTGGTTGTGGTGGGTGGTTGTGGTTGTGGTTGTGGTGTGTGGTGGTGTGTGGTGGTGGTGGTGGTGGTGTGCTGATGGGGTGGTGTGGTGGTGGTGGTGGTGGTGGGGTGGTGGTGGTGGTTGTGGTGGTGGTGGTGGTGGTGGTGGTGGTGCGGCGCGGTGGTGGCGGGCGGATGGGCGCGCGAGAAAGAGGCCCGCGCTGGGGCGAGAACGCCATCCTGAACGACGGAGGCCAAACACCGATCCGAAATGAGGCCCACGCTGCAGCGGGAGCACGATTCGGAACGATTCGGGAGCAGAAATGAGGCCGGCGCCTCAGCCAGAAGTGTTCGTGAAAAAAAAACGCAGGCGAAAACCCGTTTCCCGGGAATCCTGTGTGTAAAAAAACAGTGCGCGGGGGGCGTTCGGCCCGAAAATGACGCCGGCGCCTCAGCGAGAGTCGTTTCCCGGGATTTCCCGGGCATCCTGTGTGTAAAAAACAATACGCGGAGAATGCGCGGCCATCACCCGGACGCCATCAGGGGAAGAGGGAGAGTATTTTCATATTGAGTAATTGTGGAGGGAGGCAAGCTATGTGCGCTCGCATCATATCTGACGTCCTACCCCTCCCTCCCATCCCTTACCATGGCGCTGATTTTCTCTATCCGCGGACGCGTGTCGTAGCGGACCTGTGGCTCCGCGCGCGCGTGCGTAGTGGGCGGTGGTGCGCGAGCGTGCGTGCGTGCGTTCGTGTGTGCGTGGTAGTGGTTGTGGTTGTGGTTGTGGTTGTGGTTGTGGTTGTGGTTGTGGTTGTGGTTGTGGTTATGGTTGTGGTGGTGGTGGTGGTGTGGTGGTGTGGTGGTGTGTGTGTGTGGTGCGTGCGTGCGGTGCGTGCCTGTGTGTGTGTGTGTGTGTGTGGTGTGTGTGTTGTGTGTGTGTGTGCGTGCGTGTGCGTGTGCGTTGCGTTGTGCGTGTGCGTTCGTGCGTGCGTGCGTGCGTGGCTTGCGCGTTGCGTTGTGGTGTGACGTGGTGTGGCGTCTTGGTGGTTTGGTGGTGGGCCAGGTGCGTTGCTGCGTGATGGAGGTGGTGGTGGTCGGTGTGGTGGTGGTGTGTGTGTGTGTGTGTGTGTGTGTGCGTGTGTGCGTGTGTGTGCTGTGTGTGTGTGTGTGTGTGTGTGTGTGTGTCGTGCGTGCGTGCGTGCGTGCGTGCGTGCGTGTGTGTCTGTGTGCGCGCGCGTGTGATGTGGTGTGACGCGGTGTAGCGTGGTGGTGGTGGGTGGGGTAGTGGGGTGGTGGTGGCGGTGCGCGTGCGTGCGTGCGTGCGTGCGTGCGTTGGTGGGTGGAAGTGGCGGTGGGCGGGGCGGGGCGCGGTGCGGTGGTGGCGGGCGGATGGGCGCGCGAGAAAGAGGCCCGCGCTGGGGCGAGAACGCCATCCTGAACGACGGAGGCAAAACACCGATCCGAAAATGAGACCCACGCTGCAGCGGGAGCACGATTCGGAACGAGCGGGGCCCGAAAATGAGGCCGGCGCCTCAGCGAGAGCAGCATTTTGGAAAAAAATGCAAGCGAAAACCCAACTCCGGGGAAACCTGTGTAAAAAACAGTACGCGGGGGGGGGGGGGGGGGCTACTCCAAGACGTCGTCCGGGGGAAGAGGGAGAGTAGTACTCATATCGAGTAAATTGTGAGGGAGGGGGGAGGAGGGGGGGGAGGGAGGGATGGGAGGAGAGGGAGGGGAGGAAGGGGAGGGAGGGGAGGGAGGGGAGGGAGGGGCGGCGAACTGACTGTCCGGAGGTTTTCACCGGGGGCGTGGGAAGACGTGGCGGCCGCGGAGGGAGTGGAGGGGGGCGCAGGGCACTCACAGGCGAAAAAACAATCGCACGGCGAGCGCGCCAGTGCGGCCCGCCGGGGCTGCGATGCCAGGGCAGTGGACGCGGGACGGCATCCCACCCAGAGATCCAACGTAATGAAAAGAATCGAGACGGAGGCTTTTCGCAAATTTCGGCCCCCAGGGGCCCTCGCCGGGCCTCGGGACCGTCAAAAAACGGCTCGGGATGGAAAACCGGTCCTGGGGAATGGGTCGAGACTTCCAGGGACCGCGTATTGAAAAAATCACGCCGTCGGATCTCTGGGCACGGCCACACCCAAGGACTTCAGCCAGGGCTGCGGGCGCTGAGAGCGTGGGGAGCAAGGTGCTGGCACCACGCCAGTGCAGAAACTGCCGGGAACGAGTGGTGCATCTGGTCGTTCGTCACATGGCCGAGCTGCGTCAGGCTTTGCTGCGCCAGGCCGGCGTCTGCCGGATGTGAGGCCAGAACCGGGCCCCAGCGGCGGCGCGCGATGTCCGCCCGGGGCT